GCACCTGCCATCACGCCCAGCTAATTTTTTATTTTTAACGGAGACGGAGTTTCACCATGTTGGCCAGGTTGGTCTTGAACTCCTGACCTCATGATCCACCCTCCTTGGCCTCCCAAATTGCTGGGATTACAGGCGTGAGCCACTGCACCTGGCCATGAGACAGTCTTGTTCTATCGCCCATGCTGGAGTGCAGTGGCGCAATCTCAGCTCACTGCAACCTTCACCTTCTAGGTTCAAGTGATTTTCTTGCCTCAGCCTCCTGAGATTACAGGCACACACCACCATGCCCGATTCATTTTTGTATATGTAGTAGAGATGTGGTTTGACCATGCTAGCCAGGCTGGTCTCAAGCTCCTGACCTCAGCCCATCTCAGCCTCCCAAAGTGCTGGGATTACAGGTGTGAGCCATCGTGACTGGTCATTGATTTATAATTTGACTGGTGTGTCTTTTGATTCTGTTTTGCTCTGTTTCACATTTTTTGCTTATTGTGTATGTTAAGATTAGGTTTAGCTGTGGGTGACAGAAAACTGAAAATAGCAATGGCTTAAGAAAGTCCTGTAGTCCCAGCTACTTGGGAGGCTGAGGCAGGAGAATTGCCTGAACCCAGGAGGCAGAGGTTGCTGTGAGCTGAGATCGCGCCATTGCACTCCAGCCTGGGTAACGAGCGAAACTCCGCCTCAAAAAAAAAAAAGAAAGTAATGTATTTTATTCCTTTTCTTAGAGGAAATTCAGGTGTGGTATGGTGGTTCAGCTCTGACAGTCTCTAGGAATCCATGTTTCTTCTACCTTTCTGCTCCTTTTTTCTTTTCTTAACTTTTTAGAGAGTAATGGCTATATTCATTTTTTAAATTTTTTTATTTTTTATTTTTTCGAGACGGAGTTTCACTGTTGTTTACCCAGGCTGGAGTGCAGTGTCGCGATCTCAGCTCACCGCAACCTCCACCTCCTGGGTCCAAGCGATTCTCCTGCCTCAGCCTCGTGAGTAGCTGGGATTACAGGCATGTGCCACCACACCCAGCTAATTTTTTGTATTTTTAGTAGAGACGGGGTTTCTTCATGTTGGTCAGGCCAGTCTCAAACTCCTGACCTCAGGTGATCTGCCCACCTCAGCCTCCCAAAGTGCTGGGATTACAGGCATGAGCCACCATGTCCAGCCTCATTTTTAAATTTTTAATTGTAAAATACATACAAAATATACCATCCTAACCATGTATTAAGTATACAGTTAAATACATTCACAATTCACATTATTGTCCAACCAGTCTCTGATTTGCTTTATGAAAAACAAAAACTCTGCATCCATTAAACAACTCCCTACAGTTTTTGTGGGGTTTTTTTTGGTTTACACATGGCAATCTGTGACTCTGCTTCTTTTTTTTTTTTTCTTTTTTCTTAATATTATTTTTTAAGACAGGGTTTTAGTCTTTCGCCCAGGCTGGATTGCAGTGGTGCAATCTCGATTCACTGCAACCTTCGTCCCCTTGGCTCAAGTGATCCTCCCACTTCAGTCTCCTGAGTAGCTGGGACTACAGGCACCTGCCACCACATCCAGCTAATTTTTGTTGTTGTTGTGTTTTCTTTACTTTGTTTTGTTTTTTCAAGACAGAGTCTCACTCTGTTGCTCAGGCTGGAGTGCAGTGGTGTGATCTCAGCTCACTGCAACCTCTGCCTCCGGGTTCAAGCAGTTCTCCTGCCTTAGCCTCCAAAGTAGCTGGGGTTACAGGCATGTACCACCATGCCCATCTAATTTTTATATTTTTAGTAGAGACAGGGTTTCTTCATGTTGGCCATGCTGGTCTCCCAACTCCTGACCTCAGGTGATCCGCCCACCTCCACCTCCCAAAGTGCTAGGATTATAGGCATGAGCCACCACGCCCAGCCTTGCCTAAAATTTCATGCACCTACTTCTTTTTTGGAGGCTGGAGGCTGGAGTGCAGTGGGATGATCTCAGCTCACTGCAGCCTTTGCCTCCTGGGTTCAAGTGATTCTGCTGCCTAGCTTTCCAGGTAGCTGGGACTGTGGGTACATGCTACCACACCCAGATAATGTTGGCTTTTTTTTCTAGTAGAGACGGGTTTCACCATGTTGGCCAGGCTGGTCTTGAACTCCTGACCTCAAGTCACTTGCTAAGTCCCTGCCCTTTGTACACACCGCCAAAAAAAAAAATAAATGACTTGCCTGTCTCGACCTCCTAAAGTGCTGGGATTATAGGCCTGAGCCACCGCGCCATGCCTCGTGCACCTACTTCATACTGTTTTCTCCTACATGTGTTTTCCTTTTTGCTAAAATACATCCTTCAAGAGATTGTCAAAGAGGGCCTTTGTGTGGAAAATGTTCTGAAAACATCTTGGTTTTACTTTCAGGTTTAAAATTGATGATTTTGCATGTACGTGAAATTCTAGGTTCAAAGTCATTTCCTTTCAGCATTCAGAGCTATCACTGAATTGTACATTCAGTGTCGATGTTGAGAAATGTGATGTTATTCCCATTCTTGAGTCTTTGTGGGTGGTCCACTTGGCTTCCTGGAAACTCTAGCCTTTCTTCTATCTTTGATCTCTGTGGAATTCTCTTACAGTATCCTGTAATGTTACTTTTTATTTTCTTTTTTTATTTTTTGAGACTGTCTCACTCCAGAGCCAAGCTGGAATACAGTGATAAGAGGATGATTCACTGTAGCCTTGAACTCCTGGGCTCAAGCAGTCCTCATGCCTCTGCCTCCCAAGTACCTGGGACTACGGGTACGTGCCACCATGCCTGCTGACTTTTAAATTGTTTGTAGGGACAGGGCCTCGCTTTGTTGCCCAGGCTGGTCTTGAACTCCTGGGCTCAAGTGATCCTTCTGCCTTGTCCTCCCACAGTGTCCGGATGGCAGGAGTGAGCACCACGCACAAGCACCTCCTCTGTTTCTCACTTTTCTCTCATTCGTTTCATTCTTACCTTTTCCTGGTGCATTCTGAGTTTTAACTCAGTTTTGCTCAATAATCTCTTCTTTAGTTGTACAGACTGCAGTTAAACTCACTCACTTCGTTTTTATTTGAGCGGTTATATTTTTCATAACAAATTGCCTCAATTGCTTCTTCCTCAAAACAACTTTTTTTGTTTTTTTTTTTGAGACAGGGTCTCACTTTGTCGCCCAGGCTGGAGTGCTGTGGCACAATCTCATCTTACTGCAACCTCCACCTTAGGTTGAAATGATCTCCATCTTTTTTTTTTTTTTTTTTTTTTTTTGAGACAGAGTCTCACTGTCACCCAGGCTGGAGTGCAGTGGCGAGATCTTGGCTCACTGCAACCTCCACTTCCCAAGTTCAAGCAATTCTCCTGCCTCAGCCTCCTGAGTAGCTGGGATTATAGACACATGCCTCCACGTCCAGCTAATTTTTGTATTTTTTGGTAGAGATGAGATTTCACCATATTGGCCAGGCTGATCTTGAACTCCTGACCTTGTGATCCGATGGCCTTAGCCTCCCACACAGTGCTTAGATTACAAGTGTAAGCCACCGTACCCAGCCTGAACTGGTAAATTTGAGGCTACTGAGATTTAAACTTTTGGCTTTTGAGATGCTCTCATTTGCATATGTTTGGATTTACTCTGGGCTTTTTTTTTGGAGATGGGGTCTAACTCTGTTGCCCAGACTTGAGTGCACAATCGTAGCTCACTGCAGCATTGAACTCTCAGGCTCAAGTGGTCCTCCCGCCTCAGCCTTCTCAGTAGCTGGGACGACCAGCACGTGCTGCCGTATGTGGCTAATTTTTTGTTTTCTGTAGAGATGGGGTCTCACTCTGTTACCCAGGCTGGTCTCAAACTCCTGGGCTCAAGTGATCCTCCCGCCTTGGCCTCCCCAGGTGCTAGGATTACAGGCATGAGCCACTATGCCTGGCCCTTGGGTTTCTTGTTGCAAGCTGGCAGTTACCTGCCCACTGTCCTGCTGTGATTGCCCTGCACTTATAACCTACATCCTTCTTGAAAAAAAATGTTATAAGTAAAGATAGACATGCGGTGATCATTTGATCATTTTGGTTTTTGGTATTTTTTTGTTGTTGGGGGGGGCAGTTTTTGTTTTTGTTTTTGAGACAGAATTTCGCTCTTTCGCCCAGGCTGTTATGAAGTGGCGTGATCTCAGCTCACTGCAACCTCCACCCACTGGGTTCAAGCAATTCTTCTGCCTCAGCCTTTAGAGTAGCTGGGTTACAGGCTCACTCCACCACACCTGGCTAATTTTTGTATTTTTATTTATTTATTTAGAGATGGAGCTTCTGTCAACCAGACTGGAGTACAGTAGTGCCATCTTGATTCACTGCAACCTCCACCTCCCCGGTTCAAGCAATTCTCCTGCCTAAGCCTCCCAAGTAGCTGGGATTGTAGGCATGTGCCATCATACCCAGCTGATTTTTGTATTTTTGGTAGAGATGGGATTTCACCATGTTGGCCAGGCTGGTCTCGAACTCCTGACTTCAGGTGATGCACCTGCCTCGGCCTCTCAAAGTTCTGGGATTACAGGCCCCTGGCTGGGGTGATCATTTTGAATGAATGAGGATGACGGATCAGGAATAGAGCTAACCCGGGCCCATTTGTCTCTTCACTGTCTGCATTACATGTAGTTCCTTCTTCTCTCACTTTTTTCCCCACTCTGCTGCTGAAACAGGAATCTTTCTCAAATGAGTGTTTTGTATTTCTTGCCCATTTGTATAGAGAAGGGTCGCCCGAAGCAGTTTGATCAGAGCAGAAGAGGGATACCATGGGATGTTCTAGTCACGGTGTATGTGTCTGCCTGCTGCTTATGACTCATGATATTCTTGCTGGAAGGTTCATTTTCCTGAGTCTTGAGGAGAAACGCCTTGTCCAGGATTCTGTTCTTCCTTGAGTCCTTGGATTCTCATGCTGCTGCCATTCTTTCTGTTCAGTCCTAAGCCAGACCTCTGTGTCTACACACAGCCCCTCCTCCCTCTCTGTGAGTCTCCTGCTCGGCTCTGTCATATTTCTCTTTTTTTCCTTTTCTAGAAAGAAAAGTCAAAATCGAACAGTTCAGCAGCCCGAGAACCTAATGGCTTTCCCTCTGATGTCTCAGCCAATTCCTCTCTCCTCCTTGAATTTCAGGGTGAGTTGCATCTTTGTATCTTCCTTGCAGGAGAACAAAAACTTGAATGAATGCATTAATAAGAAGAATTGGCCGGGTGCAGTGACTCACACCTGTAATCCCAGCAGTGGGGAGTCCAAGGTGGACAGATCACCTGAGGTCAGGAGTTTGAGACCAGACTGGCCAACATGGTGAAACCCAGTCTCTACTAAAAATACATAAAATTAGCCAAGCATGGTGGCACGTGCCTGTAATCCTGTCTACTTGGGGGGTTGAGACAGGAGAATCCCTTGAACCCGGGGGATGGAGGTTGAGGTGAGCCAAGATCGCGCCACTGCACTCCAGCCTGGGCGACTGAGACTCTGTCTCAAAAACAAAAATTCTGTGTTTGATTTCAGTGCCTGCTGTTTTGCGGGTATTTTGCTAGGCACTGGACCTAAATCTTTGCATTTGAGCTTCACGATAGCCCTGCAAGATAGGAAATGGTATCCTCATTTTCCAGTTAAGGAAACTGAGGCTCAGAGAGTTGAAGTTACTTAACTTGTAAGTGACAGACTCTGTGTCAGGTCCTGGTTGTCCAAATCAGAAGCTTTTTCTTAGATTGTACTTTATTTTTTGTAGAGTCAGAGTCTGGCTATGTCAGGCCGGTCTTGAACTCCTGGTCTCAAGCAGTCCTCCGGCCTTGGCCTCTTAAGGTACAGGAATGAGCCACTGCACCCGGCCTAGACTGTGTGTTTAATGCTAGTGGCTTAGAGTAGGCTACCCAAAGGCGAAGCTTCTGCCTCTCCAGTGTTAGGACAAGTTCTGCCTGCTGAGCCCATCCCACCTTGTCGGCACTGTAGTCATAAGACTGCCTTCTACACCCACCTGCTGGGCACCGTCTACGAAGCCCTTTACTTTACTTTCTCAGTTTTCTCCATGTATCCACCCGTGATATAAACCAGGCAGTTACGACCCCACTTTAAGGAAGCTGGTGCGCTCGGAGGAACAGTGTTTGCCTAAGCTCAAAAATGGCAGTTTTGTTCATTTTGTCACAAAATGCTGCTTCCCTTTAGTGTGGGTATTAATGGTCTTTTTAGGAGTAAATACTAGAGTAAGCTTATGACTTTCTCTTCAAAACCAGATTGGAGCTAACCCTGCATGTCATTATCCCTTCCCCACCTCTTTCCCAGGCCCCACCAAGGTCAGCCATGTGCTGTGGGAAAGGACACCAACGTGTGTGTGTTCAGTAATCAGAAAGCTCTGGGAGACACATGAGGCTCCATTTCCTCAGTCTGGCCACCATCTCCTCCTTTTCATTTAGCAAACACTTAATGAGCTCCTGCTGTATGTAGTGTAGGTACTGTGCGTTGCACTGGGAGTCACGGACAAGGGAGCCACAGAGCCTGTCCACACAGAGGCTCATGGAGGATGCATGTGTGCACAGTGATAAACGCAGGCATGCACAGGCTATCACGGGAGCACAAGAGCGGGCGGTCATTTCCACCCATGCAAGCCAGGAGTCCACTGAGGAAGCGATGTGGGAGCTGTGTTGGGAGATCTGGACTTTCCAGGACAAGAGAAAGCAGCCTAGCCAAGGAACAGCTGGGCAGAAGCACCCATACATGATGAAGCTGTTGGGTTAGGGTCCAGCCTGCCTGGAGCCGAGGATGCTTATGGGAGAACAGCAGGCAGTGAGGCCGGAGATCAGAAAGGACTCTCTATGTTGCGACAAGGTCATATCGTGCCTGTCCTAAGAAGTACTGCGTATGACATTTCTCCCTTAGGCAGCAGGGGAGCATCGAAGGGTTTAGACAGGTCCCTCTGTCAGTGGTGTGCATTTCAGTTTAAGGGACCCGAGACTGGAGGCAGGCCAGTCAGTTAGGTGGCTGCGGCAGGAGGCCAGGCTGAAGATGACGAGGCTTGAACTAAAGCAGTAGGAGAGGAAGGAATGAACGCAAGTGATACAGAGCAGGAGCGGGAAACAGTCTGTTGACCAGCTGCTGGAGGTGAGGCAGAGGAAGGCATTGTTGACTCTTACTTTGTTTTTTGTTTTTTTTTTTTTTGAGACAGAGTCTCATTCTTTGTCCAGGGTGGAGTGCAGTGGCATGATCTCGGCTCACTACAACCTCCACCACCCAGGTTCAAGTGATTCTCCTGCCTCAGCCCACATAGTAGCTGGAATTACAGGCACGCACCACCATGCCCGGCTAATTTTTGTATTTTAAGTAAAGATCAGTTTTCGCCATGTTGGCCAGGCTGGTCTCAAACTCCTGACCTCAGGTGATCCACCTGCCTCAGCCTCCCAAAGTGCTATGAGCCACCGTGCCCCGCCTTTTTTTTTTTTTTTTTTTTTGCTTTTGAGAAGGAGTTTTGCTCTCGTTACCCAGGCTAGAGTGTAATGATGCAATCTTGGCTCACCGCAACCTCCGCCTCCCAGGTTCAAGCGATTCTCCTGCCTCAGCCTCCCAAGTAGCTGGGAGCTGGGATTACAGGTATGTGCCACCATGCCCATCTAATTTTTGTATTAGTAGAGACAGGGGTTTCTCCATGTTGGTCAGGCTGGTCTTGAACTTCCAACCTCAGGTGATCCACCTGCCTCAGCCTCCCAAAGTGTTAGGATTACAGGTGTGAGCCACTGTGCTGGCCTGGTGACTCTTAAGTGTTGAATTTAGGTGGTGACTTTAAGCCTTCAGGCAGAACTCCCAGGTGTTAATCCATCAGTCCTTGGGGCAGTCAGGCAGCTGAAGCCGAGCTCACCACCTTCAGATACCACCACGTCCTTCAGATGCCCCCGGGTGCCTGACAAATGTCACTTTCTACACATCTGTGATGTGAGAAGGATTGGGAAGTACTGAGCAGAGACACGGCTACACCCCTCCCTTCCGTAAGTTTTAATCGGTGGATAATAAAGAAGGGTTTAATAAGCATCGCCTGACCTTCTTGAAGTGTAATATTGCAGAAACGTAAAGATTCTGGCTGCCTCTGGTGTTTAGACTGTATGTCGTGTAGGCTGGGCACAGTGATTACTGTGCTCACCTGTATCCTTGGCTGCCTAAAGTGGTGCCAGGTCCATGGCTCTGTCCAGAGTTCCTCTTGAGGAAAATGGCCACTTTCAGCTGCTGCCTTTGTTCTGTTCGGTTTTCAGATGAAAACAGCAACCAGAGTTCTGTGTCTGACGCCTACCAGCTCAAGGTGGACAGCAGCACCAACTCAAGCCCCAGCCCGCAGCAGAGTGAGTCCCTGAGCCCGGCACACACGTCCGACTTCCGCACAGACGACTCCCAGCCCCCAACCCTGGGTCAGGAGATCCTGGAGGGTGAGTCGCGATTGGCCCGGAGTGTCCTAGCAGGGCTCTGCTCCTGCTCCTGCTGCTTCTCATCTTCAGAGGACAAGGTCCGAGAGAACGCCTTAGAGCCAGGCGGCATCAAGCCGTTTCTCCACAGCTTGGGATACTTTGAGGAGTGACTCTATTTCACCCTTTCGCAGAGTGAAGGGAGAAAAGAAGCATTGGAGTTGAGTGCCAGGCTCTGTGAAAGGAGCTTGAGTACCTGACGCCTGGTATAGTTCCCTCAAAAGTCTGCACGGTGGCAGCTACTGTCTTCTTTTACAGATGAGGGAAAATGGAGGTTCAAGGCTTAGAAAGGTTCAGTCAGGCCAGGCACGGTGGCTCACACTTGTAATCTCAGCACTTTGGGAGGCCGAGGTGGGTGGGTCACTTGAAGCCAAGAGTTCAAGACCAGCCTGGCCAAGATGGCAAAACCCTATCTCTACTAAAAATATAAAAAATTTAGCCAGGCATGGTGGCGTATGCCTGTAATCCCAGCTACTGTGGAGGCGAAGGCAGAAGAATCGCTTGAACATGAGACAGAGGTTGCAGTGAGCTGAGATCAGACCAGTGCACTCCAACCTGGGCAACAGAGTGAGACTGTCTCCAAAAAAAAAAAAAAAAAAAAGTTAAATTGCTTGTCTAAGATCATCACGTAGCTAGTCTAGTAACTGTTGGAATGAATGTCACTTTATTTTTTTTTAACCTTTTTTTTTTTAAAGATGGGGTTTCAGCATGATGGCCAGGCTGGTCTTGAACTCCTGACCTCAGGTGATCCACCCACCTCGGCCTCCCAAAGTGCTAGGATTACAGGTGTGAGCTACTGCGCCCGGCCCTGGAATGAATGTCACTTTAAGTCCTTCTAACTTCAATTCATGCTGTCTTCATTATATCCTGCTAATTTTTTTTCCCTTTCCTTTTGTTTTTTGTAAAGACATAAGGTCTTACTCTATTGCCCAGGCTAGAATGCAGTGGCTGAATCCTAGCTCGCTGCAGTCTTGAACTTTTGGGGTCAAGTGATCCTCCTGCCTCAGACTCATAGGCCTGTGCCACCATGCCTGGGTATCTTTTAATTTTTTGTAGAAATGGGGTCTCACTCTGTTGCCTAGTCTGGTCTTGAACTCCTGGGTTCAAGCGATCCTCCCACCTCAACCTCCAGAGTAGCTGGAGCTTCTCTGGCGTGAGCAACCACGCCTGACCCAGGTTTCTTGTTAGAATGTGGGTAAGTAGATGTGTCTTAGGCCCTTGTTAACTTCTCCTGTGCTGTGACCTTTGAACAGCCGACTATAAAATGGAACTTGTTTCTCCATGGGAAGTGCCAATTGTCGTGAATATTGCGTTTCTGCTATTCAGCACGCGCTCTTCTTAGCTCCTGTGTTTATTACTTCATCGAGTCATCATAGCAGCTCTCGGAAAAGTGGGAGATTGAGTTAGAGTCTTGATGTTTGGGCTGAAGGATGACAAGATGAGCTGCTTTGTTGGTTCCAGATGTCTCCAGCCCAGTAGAGAGGGCCCTCTGCAGTCTAGCCATATTTTGCCCTTCCACCATTCATGGCTGTGGCCTGGTCCAGCCGGGCCCTGAGTGAATGTTCGCTTCCCAGGCCAGTGTTCTCTCCTCCCCACCAAGCCACTTCCACACCGCTCTAAGGAAGCTCCCCCAGGTCCAGGCCTTAGGGGGGCTCTGCCCTCGGGCTGACCCTGCTGCCTTTTCAGAGCCCTCCCTGCCCTCCTCGGAAGTTGCTGACGAACCTCCCACCCTCACCAAGGAAGAACCAGTTCCACTAGAGACACAGGTAAGCAGTCACTCGGCGCTTTCCAGTTGTGTGTGTGTGTGTGTTTTTTAAGACGGGGTTTTACCATGTTGGGCAGGCTGGGGTCTTGAACTCTTGACCTCAGGTGATCTGCCTGGCTTGGCCTCCAAAGTGCTTGGATTACAGGCATGAGCCACCACACCCGGCCGAGTTTTTCGGTTTTTTTGTTTGTTTGTTTCTTTGAGACGGGATTGCCCAGGCTGGAGTATAGTGGTGTGATCTTGGCTCACTGCAGTCTCCACCTCCTGGCTTCAATTGATTCTCCTGCCTCAGCCTCCCGAATAGCTGGAATTACAGGTGCCTGCAACCACACCTGGCTAATTTTTGTATTTTTAGTAGAGATGGGGTTTCACATGTTAGCCAGGGTGGTCTCCTGAGCTCAAGTGATCTGCCTGCCTCAGCCTCTCAAAGTGCTGGGATTACAGGCATGAGCCACTGTGCCCAGCCAGGCTTCCCAGTTCCTAAGACAAAAAACAGGAAAGACTGTGGATGTGGGATTGTATCTGCAGTGCTGGAAACTGGAGTCCCAGGATTGCAGGCAGGGGAGGAAGATGGATCATTTGTGAGAAGGAGCAGGTTGGGCATCCTATTATAATTCAGGTGGGTGGTAAGGCTCTGGTTGGGAGGGGTGGCTCTGTCATTATTCCATGCTCTGCCTTCTTCTAGGTCGCCGAAGAGGAGGAAGACTCAGGTGCCCCACCCCTGAAGCGCTTCTGTGTGGACCAACCCACAGTGCCGCAGACGGCGTCAGAAAGCTAGCACCGTCACAGCCCTCCGCCTCCTGGCCCTGCCTCTATTTATTGCATTCTGGTTCTGGCTGCGCTGTGTTGCTGGGGAAAGGGCAAGCACTGGGGTCGAGAGCCTGCACACATGAGCCTTCCGGGCTGGAAGGCTGGCATAGGATTTGGGGCTGTCACGTCATCTTCCCGTCCCTTGCACCTGTGTCTTCTTGCTCCCGAGAAGAGGAGCACTCACATCTTTTGCACCCCAAGTTGGCTGGAGCATTGGCCACCCCAGGATTCATCTGTCACCTCCAGGCAGCAGTCTCTGCTCCAGAACCTCTGGACTGAGCTGCTGGCAGCTTCCTTGAGAAGAGAGATGTGGAAGGCGCCCTCCAGAAGAGAGAGTGCCTAGGGTTACTTGAACTTGAATGAAGACTGTGGACTCCTGGACTTTCCCCTAGGGCTGGGGGCCCTGTAGGCTGCTGCTGGAGGAGGACTGTGTAGAGACGTTGGAGCGAAGGGAAGGGCTCTTCTCCACGAGGGCAGGGTCTGTCTAGATTCTTGCTGTCCTGGCAATTCCGCCCATGCCTGAGGTGGTCCTGCCTCTCGTGGGCAGGCACCCTAGCTGCTGACAGTCCTTTGTGCCCACCGTCGCCGTCCCCTGCCCTCAGCACACATGTCCGCACACATGCAGCTTTCTCTGTTCTCACCTGTACTGTCATTCCAGCATCCCTGCCTCCTGCCACAAACTGCCCCAGCAAGAATTTGAGGTTCTGACAACAGTACCCATCCCCCACAGTACTCCTTCAGCTCGGTTTCTAGAAAGCTCCCTTTTCTTTGAAATCTGCATGTTGAATTGAACTTTGTGATTTTATTTTTTGTTTCAAAAAAGTTTAAGAAAATGGAAATGGGCAACAGTGAGTGAAGACATATTTTAGCACTGAATAGAATATTTTTAAAATTAAACTATTTGAAATACGTCCTGTTGGTATCTGAGTGCTTCCTTCTTGAAGGTTGGGGGCAGGGTGGGGGGTGGTTGAGTGCTTGTGGGGTCACTGTGGGCTGGGCCCACCCATCCTTTGACTCCCACCTCGTGGGCTTCATGACAGTGATTTCCTGCCTCCCTTTGAAGCTGTCACATAGTTCAAATTACACTTTTCACTGGGCGTTCAGACCTCTTATCCCAGCACTTTGGGAGGCCGAGGCCAGAGGATCACTTGAGGCTAGGAGTTTGAGACCAGCCTGGGCAACATAGCAAGACCCTGTCTCTATCTAAATATTTTTAAATTATAAAATAACAACCAGGCCAGGCACAGTGGCTCATGCCTATAATCCCAGCACTTTGGGAGGCTGAGGTGGGTGGATTACCTGAGGTCAGGAGTTCAAGACCAATATGACCAACAAGGTGAAACCCTGTCCCTACTCAAAATACAAAAATCAGCTGTGCGTGATGGCAGGTGCCTGTAGTCCCAGTTACTCGGGAAGCTGAGACAGGAGAATTCCTTGAACCTGGGAGGAGGAGGTTGCAGTGAGCCGAAATTGCACCACTGCACTCCAGCCTGGGTGACGGAGCAAGACTTAATCTCAAAAAAAAAATTATGCCCCTGTATACACCAAATGCAACCCATGGATGTGTCTTCCAGTGGTTCAAGTAGTTCAGAGGGATTCATGAATTTTTTTTCCCCACATGTAAAAGACATATGAAAGGTTTGTTTTTTTGTGGGTTTTTGTTTGTTTGTTTTTGAGACAGAGTTTCGTTCGGTCACCAGGGCTGGAGTGCAGTGGTGCAATTTCGGCTCACTGCAACCTCCTCCTCCCAGGTTCAAGGAATTCTCCTGTCTCAGCCTCCCCAGTAGCTGGGACTATAGGCACCTGCCATCACACTCAGCTGATTTTTGCCTTTTCAGTAGAGACAGGATTTCACCATGTTGGCCAGGCTGGTTTCAAATTCCTTAGCCTCGCAGAGTGCTGGGATTACAGACGTGAGCCACCGCGCCTGGCCAAAAGTTACTTTTGTCACCGTTGTCCAGTGTGCAGTTCAGTGGTGCTGAGTACTGAGTACATTCACAGTGCTGAGCAGTCCCCACCATCCAGCTCCAAACTTTCTTACCCCAAATGGAAACCTCATGTCGTAAGCATCTTCCATCATCTTCCCCTCCCCTCAGGCCCTGGCAGCCGCACATCTGTTTATTCTCCACAGTGATTCTCCTCGTTTCTCACAGGGGCGAGACTATAGTCCAAGTTCTACTGTTCCATTTTATCTCTTAAAAAAATGTGAATGGGGCTGGGCGCAGTGGCTCACACCTGCAATCCCAGGACTTTGGGAGGCTGAGGCGGGTGGATCACGAGGTCAGGAGTTTGAGGCCAGCCTGGCCAACATGGTGAAACCCCATCTCTACTAAAAGTACAAAAAAAGATTAGCTGGGTGTGGTGGTGCGCGCCTGTAGTCCCAGCTACTCAGGAGGCTGAGGCAGAAGAATCGCTTGAACCCAGGAGGTGGAGGGTGGCAGTGCACCACTGCACTCCAGCACAGGCAACAGAGCGATACCCCGTCTCAAAAAAAATAATAAATGTAAATAGGGCTGGGTGCAGTGGCCTGTAATCCCAGCACTCTGGAAGGCCAAGGCAGGAGCCTAGCCTTAGCATAGGAAGTGAGACGAGCCTGGTCAACACGGCAAGACACTCTCATTAAAAAAATTTTAGGCTGGGCGCGGCGGCTCACGCCTGTAATCCCAGCACTTTGGGAGGCCGAGGCGGGTGGATCACGAGGTCAAGAGATCAAGACCATCCTGGTCAACATGGTGAAACCCCGTCTCTACTAAAAATAAAAAAAATTAGCTGGGCACGGTGGCGCGTGCCTGTAATCCCAGCTACTCGGGAGGCTGAGGCAGGAGGAGAATTGCCTGAACCCAGGAGGCGGAGGTTACGGTGAGCTGAGATCGCGCCATTTCACTCCAGCCTGGGTAACAAAAGCAAAACTCCGTCTCAAAACAACAAAAAAAATTTTTTAAAGGCCAGGTGAGGTGGCTCACGCCTGTAATCCCAGCACTTTGGGAGGCCAACGAGGGTGGATCATGAGGTCAAGAGATTGAGGCCATCCTGGCCAACATGGTGAAACCCTGTTTCTACTAAAAATACAAAAATTAGCTGGGCATAGTGGCGTGCGCCTGTAGTCCCAGTTAATCAGGAGACTGAGGCAGGAGAATCGCTGGAACCCGAGATCGTGCCATTGCACTCCAGCCTGGGTGACAGGGCAAGATTCCATCTCAAAAAAAATTAAAATAAAAATATAACAGCCAGCCACAGCGGCTCATGCCTGTAATGTCAGCACTTTGGATCTTTGAGCCCAGGAGTTTGAGACCAGCCTGGGCAACATGGCAAATCTTCATCCCTAAAACAAAAACAAAAATTAGCTGGGCATGTTGGTGCATGCCTATAGCACCCCCTACTCAGGGGCTGAGGTGAGTCACGATCATGCCACTGCACTCCAACCTAGCGACAGAGGGAGACCCTGTCTCAAAAAAAAAAAAAAAAAAACATATAAAATCAAATTGTCGCCAGGTGTGGTGGCTCACACCTGTAATCCCAGCACTTTGGGAGGTTGAGGTGGGTAGATCACACGGTCAGGAGTTCAAGACCAACCTGACCAACATGGTGAAACCCTGTTTGTATTGAAAAAATAAAAATCAAATTGTTAAAGTAATTTTACAGATAATGAGATAATGTAATTGTATGTTGTTTATAAAATGTCTTCTTTTTCTTTCTTTTTTTGTAGAGACAAGATCTCACTATGTTGCCCAGGCTGGACCTACCTTGGTTTCCCAAAGTACTGGGATTATAGGTGTGAGCCACCATGCCTGGCCAACATAACTCTTTTAATGTGTTTAAGCAAAGGAAAGTATAATGGGCTGGGGGCAGGAGCTCATGCCTGTAATCCCAACACTTTGGGAGGCTGAGGAGGAGGATTGCTTGAGTCCAGGAGTTTGACACCAGCCTGGGCACATAGGGAGACTCCATCCCTACAAATAATTTTTTTTTCTTTTATTATTTAGTTTTTGAGATGGAGTCTCGCTCCGTTGCCAGGCTGGAGTCCAGTAGCAGGATCTCTGCTCACTGCGACCTCTGCCTCTTGGGTTCAAGTGATTCTCCTGCCTCAGCCTTCTGAGTAGCTGGGACTACAGGCACACGCCACCACACTCAGCTAATTTTTTGTATTTTCAGTAGAGACGGGGTTTCACCATGTTGGCCAGGATGGTCTGGATCTCTTGCCCTCATGATCCACCTACCTCGGCCTCCCAAAGTGCTGGGATTATAAGCCTTAGCCACTGTGCCCAGCCCTTTATTTATTTATTTTTTTAATTAGCTGAGTGTGGAGGCACAGACCTCTGGTCCCAGGTACTCAGGAGGCTGAGGCAGGAGGATTCCCTGAGCCCCGGAGGTCAGGGCTGCAAATAGAAACAGGGCCGGGCGCGGTGGCTCAAGCCTGTAATCCCAGCACTTTGGGAGGCCGAGGCGGTGGATCACGAGGTCAAGAGATCGAGACCATCCTGGTCAAAACGGTGAAACCCCATCTCTACTAAAAATACAAAAAACTAGGTGGCACATGCCTATAATCCCAGCCACTCGGGAGGCTGAGACAGGAGAATTGCTTGAACCCAGGAGGTGGAGGTTGCGGGGAGCCGAGATCACACCATTGCACTCCAGACTGGGCAACGAAAGGAAAACTCTGTCTCCAAAAAAATTAGCCAGGCATGGTGGCACACACCTGTAGTCCCAGCTACTCAGGAGGCTGAGGCAGGAGAATCGCTTGAACCTGGGAGGCGAAGGTTGCAGCGAGCCGAGATCCAACCACTGCACTCCAGCCTCAAAAAAATAATAATGAAACAAAAATAAAAATATCGGCCAGGTGTGGTCTGGAGTTAAGAGACCAGCCTGGCCAACATGGTGAAACCCCAGCTCTACTAAAAATACAAAAATCAGCCAGGCATGGTGGTACACACCTGTAATCCCAGCTACTCCGGAGGCTGAGGCATAAGAATTGCTTGAAGCCGGGAGGCAGAGGCTGCAGTGAGCTGAGATCACGGCACTGCACTCCAGCCTGGTGACAGAGCGAGACTGTCTCAAAATAAATAAATAAATAAATAAATAATTTTTTCCTTTTAATTGCATTTATTTTAATGCTGAATTTACTCTCGTGCCGTAAGTTTTTGTTTCTTCTGAGGTACCTACTTCATCTGGGCAACCTCCTGTTCTGGCTTAGGAAGAATCGGTTCCTTTTGAGCAAGGATTGTCTCAGTGTGGCAGGGAAACCTCACATGTGGGTTAATCCGACCGGGAGCTCTGTGGGTCCGGCGGTGCATCTTGGGTGCTTTGTTCACTTGGATGTGCTCAGTGACCACAGAGTCTACGTGTAAACCCTTAACTTCAGCGTGACTCTCTGCAATTTTAAGCACGTGCAGCAAAAATTCAGCACTTTTTGGGCCACCGACCTTGTGTCCCGCCCCACTGCTTGGCCTGGGCACACCTGCCAACTCCGCCACTGTAACGTCGGAATGGTATGCACCGTTCTGTAAAGTGACATCTTTCAGATACTTCGTGGCTTTTCGTATAGGCGTACCCTCGATGGCCTGGGCAGTTTCACGAGTGTTCTTAAGGTCAACACGCACAAAGACTAGAACCTCTTGATTTGCATGATTTTGTGGGGTTCTCCAGGTCAAGCGAATAGCGAACCATTTTCACAGATTACGTCAGGCCGCTTAGGGAAAGAGCTAAATAAAAATATTTTACAAATACAGTTGTCCCTTGGTATCTGGAGGGGATTGGTCCCAGGGCCCTGGTGGATACCAAATCCTGCAGATGCTCAAGTTCCACAGAAGGCCCTCCCTATCCCTCTCCATGTTCCGCATCTCCCAAGCCCAGTATTTTTGATCCACTATCGGTTGAAACTGTGGACACAAAGGGACAACTGTGTTTGTTGC